GATTCTTGGAGGGACCCGCAAGACATCTCGCGTTATCCTACCAAAATTAGCGAACCGTCCTTTTGCAGCCTCCCCTTTGCCGGGAGCCAGTCAGTCCAATCGCACCCGACTGAGTCATCAGTTAGTCTTCCACGGACACAAACATGGTCCAAACAACTGGTCCCATTGGTCCAGTTGGTCCAGTTGCTCCGGTTTGTTTGGTTCAAGGGTGTCCAAACAAGCTGAAAGGCTCAGCTGAGTCAAAAAACTCAAAAAGCCGAGGCGCTCGTAGTTGGTGGTGGATTCCCCGAAGAGCCGGGTCTGCAACTTGCCGGGGGGGGTGCTGGGCACCTGGTGCATCAGCCACAAGTCGCAGATGCCGCAGAAGACGGTGTACTGGAACCAGCCTACTGCCGGCACCTGGCGAGACTCTAAACGGTCGGCTAAAGGGAATCCCCCAACCCCTCAAAATGCTCACTCCAAAGGATGTACCCGGCCATGCTGCATGGAAAAGAAGGACCCTTAAAAATAGAACATGGTCTTCCAGGAACCTGCAGTCAGATTCCATGCAAGTTCTCAGTTGGTGGGAGGGTACTCCCTTGCAACAGTCGGTTTGCTTGAAACAAGTAGAACCGGGAAAGCACCACTTTGGCATGCCAAAGCACACGACATACACTGGACATTCGGCCGGCCAGGTGGGTGGAAAAACATCCCTCGGCCATCCTAGTCCCTAAGCACCGCTGGTGTTTTGACCATGCAGCCTAGGCTGTCCGCCGTCGGCTGGATCCGATCTTCAGCTCAAAAGGTAGCGCTTGCTTTGCTGAAGTGCTGGCTTTTCTGAATGCTTCTCAAGTAAAATCTCGGGGGGGCTGTGTCTTGCCATTTCCTTTCCAGGACACATGTAAGAGCTCCTTGCCTTTCCGGGGCCATGCTTCCTTTTCCCAATGGGAAGTTCAAACCACACCTGCCTTGACATTTCTTCTGTGGCCCTCTCTGTCCAAAATCTAGTTCGAGATTTATCCTTCAAAACGGGAACCCAAAAGGTGATGTCTGAACCCAGCAAATGGGGTTGCACTGTATATGTGGAAAGGTACTGTTCAATCAGGCCCGAAAAGGGAAGTACAAGGAAAGTACACGGGGAATACAACGGGACTGCAGAAAGGGGCAGGGTACTTAGTAAGTACTTAGTAAGTGGTTTGTAGGCCTGGTTGTAACCCACGAAAGCCATGGGTGTAGTCTCCTGACCTGCCGCTTTACGTGCAGGTCGCCCAGCTTCTCCCGCCTTGGTCACCGCCGCCAGGCCGTTGGGGAGGTCCGCGAACTTCAGGTCGCTGGAGGGGGACAGGAACCCCGGGAACCGGAAGAACTCCTGGAAGCGGAGAGGGTGACAATTTACGTGGTGCTCAAAATAGGTTGTGGGGGTTATGTGGAACATTGTGGAACTATTGGGTTGCTTCCACCCCCCCATGGATGGTCTCCGCCAAAGAAAATGGATTGAAGAAAGCCAAACATCCATCGAAAAAACGGACATGGGTCTCCCTGCAACCCCTGCAACCTCAAGGCCTTATGCGTCTTGAGCAGGAGCTTAGCGGCATGCACGCCCGTCCTGCACGATGTAGCCGGTGCATGCCAGCATTGAGACGCGGCCGTGCTTGATTTCTACCACCCGGCGCCGGTAGAAGTCCTTGGCATCCCCGTCCGCAGTGAAGCCTCGCCAGCGAAGGCCGCGATTGGCACCGGCAACGTTGCATGCCCTTAGCCAAGGAAGCGATCTGGAGAGAGAGAGAGAGAGAGCGAGAGAGAGAGAGAGAGAGAGAGACAGAGAGAGAGAGAGACAGGGCGAGCTATGGCTATATATCGCCAAACAGGGTCCCTTCAGCAATTTGTTGTCTTGTTGAACGAAGTGCAAAGTTGAAGTGACGGAGCAATCGCAGAACTGAAAAGGCCAGAGGATACCAGCATTTGCTAGTTGCAGAGTGCCTGATGCTCGTGCCGGGCGCCCAGTTGAGCTGGGCACGTGCACAAAAAAAGGCCCAAGAAATCGGTCAAGAAATGACAGACAACATGGTCAGCCAGTCTGTCCCTCTAGTGGTATTGCACTACAGAATTTGGCCTTCAAGCTTGGCATGTTGAGCCTATGTAAACTAAAATGGGCCACGGAAAGTTGATTCCGGATCGATCCATGGGAGCCCTCACAAACGTCCTCTTGCAACTGAACAAGTCACATGAAACTGAAGCATCGAGGATAAAGTGCAAGCACTAGTAGTCACTAGTAAACACAGGCATGACAACGCCTCCTTCCGCGAAGTCGCAACGGAAGGACAGCTATCACAATGGCGAATCCTGCCCATGTCTTGCCCCGAACATTTGCTGGAACACTTCCGCCGTCAACTGTGCTGCCATAGCGTCATGGTTTACAAGTCATGCCTATTCGGTTCCACCCCGCAGCAATGCAATGCAGGTCTGTGGGTGGACGCTGGTTTTGAAGAGCAAATCAAATGACCAGCTCCTGTTCTTTGGAAGAGTAGGCGTGGAACGTGGAGATTGAGACTGGATCCTGCCGCTGCAATTGTGAAGACCCGATTGTTTCCTTCGAACCTGGCCTGCGGGGTCCCAGAAGCCGACAGGGGCTTGGACACCCAACTCTCCCTCAAAGGCCGCGCGCGCGGTCTTGGCCTCCTTGCGGCAATCAGAAAGGAGCCAGAGTTCGATCAAAGCGTGGCCGTAGTGCCCCAGCAGTGCGTATGGTCTATCTGTGGGAAACTGGGGCCAAAAGTCACATGGAAAAATTCCATACAGCACGCAAACTCAACATGATGCAAGTCAAAATGAACACCCAAGGCCACCATAGGCCACCCAAGGCCACCATAGGCCACCCAAGCCCACCCAAGGCCACCCAAGCCCACTCAAGGCCACCCAAGGCCTTGTCAGAGTGAAAGGGCCTGCCCTGCTGCTTGACCCACTGGCTTCCCACGACATGAAAAAAATGCCAAGGCAAAGCAGCGATCAAACGGAAGTAAAGAACCTTCTGGATTGCTGAAGCTGATCAAACCCTTGCGGCCGGGGCTTCGCTTTTCGGGCCACCTCCGCTGGACCTAACCCGATTTTCCACGTGATTCTCCCTGTACGTGAACAAATCCACAAAGGTGATGCACGATCAGATCAGACTCCGACTCACACCTCCCAGAGTATCAAATCTACACTACACAGAAAACTGCGAACGTCCAAGGCCATTTCTGGGGTGTCCCAAAATTGCGTACCAGCCAATTGCAGGTGCTGCCCTATTTTGCTACACCCCTTTGACCAGAACATGGATATGGAGAATGTCTCTTTGCAGCACCACTGTGGTTGCTTCCCATTGCCATGATTGCTGGCCGAACAAGGGACCCCCAGTAACATCATAACTCTACCGTGGACCCAAACGCGCAAGGCTTCCGGTTGTCTCCTGCTTCCGCACGGCAGCCAGCACCGACACCCCCAGCGCCACCCCCGCGCTGCTCAGGATGCCGCTACCGGCACCGCTCTCTGCTCGGCTCCCGCGGAGGCCACCGGCCCTTTGGGCGGGCTGCGGTGCTTGCGGCGCCCTCTGGGAGGGCAGAGCCTGGGACGGGCAAATCGTTGTCCAAGCTGAGCAACAGCAATGCTAAGCAACATGTCAAGTGAGAAAACACACATCCAACAAGCTGCAGTTTTCTTACCTGCCATGTGGACATGGGAAAAAAGGGAACCACGCCATGGCTGGTTTATCTAGCCCTTCCTGTAGCGCCTACTAAAGCCCCCCGTCAAATGAGGTACCGAAGTGGCCAGCAGGGGTTTCGGGCGCTGCCCGTGCGCAGATGCAGGCGAGAAGCCAGAAAAGCGGTGCCGGCCAGGGCGGCGCTGGCTGCGGCGGTCTTCAGAGGCGCCATGGCTGCAGTCTGCTGGGGGACTAAAAGGACCTGAGCCGCCCTTCGCGCCGCGGCTGTTGGATTCAGCGGCCCTTACGCAGCAAGCAACACGTGAACAGATGTGTATATATATATATACGTACACATATGTGTATGTGTTAAAACAGTAGCTCTGTTATGCTACCTGCATGCCTCACTGTGAAGTGTACACCAAGCAAGTTGTAGACTCATCACTGGTTCAAGACGTACTTGGCTAGTTGAAACTCCCATTGTCGCAAAAGTCTTCTCGAAATTGCGTTCATCGAGCCGTGGTTTGGGCAACCATGTCCGGAAGCCGTTACTTGCGCCGAGTGGTGTTGAGTATCTTGCGCGTTGTGTTTGCAACTGTTGAAATCGCATACACTCACCAGTGTATGTTGCTGCTCATTTGCAACCATTGCTCTGCAATTGCCTGTGTGGGTGCTGCTTGCTCCAGTTCATCATTTCTATCTTGCAGTATGGTTGCTCTCACTGTCTCTGCAGTCTTGTAGTCCACTGTCATCTTGTACCTCCATAAATGTGGCGTACTCTCCTCTGAACCGTGGTGGAGCGATCTTGCACTTGCATGCTGCTTCGAACTGTTGCTGCTGTTGCCGTTGCGCCGCCAATTATGTTGCGTTGTATGGAAAGGCCACCGGATGTTTCCTAGGTGTGTGTGTGTGTGTGCGTGTTGTTGTTCAATGTCCGGGTACCATGTGAACATAGTAGCACTAGTATGCTACCTGTATGCCTCTCGTTCATGACCTGTGAAGTGTTTGTCAGCACAACTTCTACTCTGCTGTAGGCAATAGGCTCAAGGGTGCTACATGGTCATGTGAGAGAGCGAGTGCATTTTAATGGTATGTATGTGCCTACGCATGTGAATACACAAAGTAATCGACACGTCTGTACAGTGCAAGCCTGTGCATAGCATACAGTGTGTATTTATATATATATATACACTTGTGCAAACATGTATGCCTAGTTGCGTAGTACGAGCACATGTGTGTGTGTGTGTGTGTCTTTTCTTGCACGTATACTTATGCAGCATGCGCAAGAAGCACACTGCTTCCGAACAACCAATCCTTTGATCTCTGTGGTCTCTGCCCTTCCAGCCTCCAGCGAGCGTGCTCCTGCCAACGGGTGGCTGCCGTTCAAAGGCCTACGATAACGAAAATTACGAAAATGATCAGAGGGTTGATAACATTGAGAGGTCATTGTAGAAACAGCTCGTACAAAAAGGCGTTGCCTCTGTTTCCCATTGTGGCAAGTGAGAGACCACAGAGATCCGAAGTCACTTCCAGTACCAGAAAGGGCAAGAACCTCAGCGACTCAGCTGCAAATATGTTGTTTCTTCACACGACCGCACCATAGAAATTTATAATCTGGAAACTCCTGTTGCCAAACATTCTGATCACAAAGCTGCACGCGAACCCATAAATCAAAATGGTCAAAAGTAGATGCACATGTCCCTTGATGATGTGTGTTGTATATAAGTACAAAAATCGTCAATACTTTGTCCAAGAATGGTGACACCGACGTCTCCTTACTGTCGATTCACGTAGGCAACGGTTTGCGGCTCAAAGTCATCGCCAAATGGCATGTACACCTTCAACCTCCCACAGACCGGCTCGTCATTCTCCGATCAGAGAAACATTTAACTTTCCTGTCACTTAGCCGCACTAGCAGCACGTTGATTGCTTGAGCTGTGCATGTTGTGTGCGATGTCTCTTGTGTAAGGATTGTGTCAAAGTACAAATTGATGTGGGCTGCCGAAGAAAAACAAAATATCTGGCTGCTGGATATGTGGATATAGGGACAAATCAAACATAGGATGCTGCGTGTTGTGGAAAATCGTGAATTGGAAGAAGTGAAACGTGCAATTCGTGGAGCACAGGGCCAATCAGCAAAGTTCAAGTCACATCAAATCCGCGCGACCAGGACTGATGTGTTGATTGAAGCCCGTTGATTGATGCCACAATCCTTCCCATTCAGACTGGGCAACAGGATGTGAAGGCACCCTCAGGTCATTCAAGGTTTCTCCGGGCGTGTGTTGGGCCATTTCTGACCTCAGGATATGCGTTTAAAGGTGATTGTCGAACAAATTGAAACTTGCCGCCCCTTCCTTCTCGGGGAAATTGACATGGGCTATTCAGCTGAGCAATAGATACACTCGCCCGTCCCAGTCCTGTGCATGCCAGCCACACCATGTTCAGCGGTAGGGCCATGACGGCAGTGGTGACAGTAACGCTTGCGCAAAAGAGGTACATGGCAATCACGGAGGGGATGAAGTGCAAAAAACCTCAGGCGAAGGGCAAATTCCATCACACCTATGCGCGCGCACTCTCACACACACACACACACACACATGGAAGTAATGCGTGTGCAGCGTGTGCATATCCACCAGCCTGGACTCTCCAAATAGTGAAACCCTGAAACGGTACTTTCACTCTGAATTCCTCCAGGAAGTTGATCTTCCAGGTACCCTCGCACACCACAGGTGCAACTGTGCATGGACAGAATCCGGCACCAGTTGGGATGGATGAAATCAACTGGTGCACCATGTCGTCCATCGCCAGTATGGTACAAGCATGTTACTGGGTGCTCTTGCCCCACGAGCAAATTGTCTAACCTCCTGTAGGTTTGACGAAAAAGCCATTGGCTTCAAAAAGCTTCACGGGGCCTTTTGGTGGTTAGTGGGAGGAAGGCCACCCTAAAGTTAGTGGTCATCAGAAAAGCATAGGCATAGAGTCTGCGAGGAGGCAGGCCCTGAAACGCCGCGGGGCAATCCGCGAGCCGCGCCGACACCCAGAAGGCGTCCCGCTGGGCCCAGCGTAGCAGCGGCTTCGCGGCCGGCGCTGCGTGGACCTCGGGCCGCGGAATCAACGGGGGCCCGCGGTACTCAAAGGGGATTCTACGCGTCGACGCCGATGTCAGGGGAAGCGAGGAAAGGGAACATACGGGAAAAAATCGGAAAGAATGGAGATGTGCAGCAAAAGCGCAAACATGGAAACATGGTTCGGGTTGACTTTAAAGGGAACATCATCAGAAAAGAAGTATGAACAACCTGTGCCACTGGGAATGTGGATTGTTCGGTGCACTAGGTTTTGGTGACAAAGAAGGGTGGACTACTTCTTGATGGCCCTTCTCAGCCGTAAAACGCCGCTGAACACCTGGGACCAGGGCTGCCACAAAACCGTCAATGGACTATTGGCTCGGCTTCCCTTCCATTCATCTTCAGGGACTTCCTTGACAGGAATATCGGAGTCAATGTTGTTTGACAACTTAGCAAGTATACATGTTACTTCTTCCTCAAATAAGATTCTAGTGAAGGCGAAACACAGCCTCGGATTGCGTGCAGGGCTTTATGCATCAGACGTGCCAGTCCGAAGAAAAAACAACATGAGCCATGGGGCTATAATGCGACTACGTGGGCAGGGAAGCACCGTTCCCGTCAAGTACTTACATGCCCCTTGTCGATACTTGGCCTGTGTTTGTTGATGTTGTTGCAATACATTAGACACGCTTGTCAGCGTTGATTGCGGCGACTGCACACGTGCACTTCAAAAGCTCTGGTATTGAGAGAGCAGCGCAACCTTAACACATTGCGCAACAAATGGGAATACCATGCAGAAATGCCAGGTTGGCGCACAAATATGTCAGCAACCAAGCTAAAGTAGTCATACTGGCAGTGTTTCCCGTCCTCTTGCACAACTGCGCAGGCAGCAACATAGAAGTACCCAAAAGCAACAACTTAGCCCAGTACTGCTTTCTTTCTGCTCGGGGCAAACAGCTCAACTTCTGGAGCGCTTCTTGGTCTTCCTCAAATCTTTTGCGGTGACAAACATCCTCAAGCATTACAGTGTCTGCTTTCGCCACCCCGCGCATCGACAGCCAACAGTCCAAGCAGCCAAAGGGTGCACCGCCCAGTTCATCACCATGGATCTGAAAGCGGACGGTGCAAGAACCTCACCGCGCCGATCGCAGGTTGGAGGATTCATCACATCAACTGTGCACCTGACATCCGAAACGACAGATTAACCAACACACTAAGCAACCAGTCGCTGGACCAAGTGCAATTAACTGAAAAACCCCAACCAGCCGGCTAGGCGACCGACCGACTAGCCCAGCCAGTCAACTAGCCATCAGCCAAGCCAACCATCCAGCCAACCGACCAAACGAGCCAACAGCAAACACAAGCAAACCAACTCACAAACACATCACTCAACCAGCCGACCACCAACTCAACCACGCAACAAAAACCAGCTTCAGCCACGGTCAACGAACCGAGTCCAAATGAATGTCTGTTCACGTGCGACGTGGTCAAACCAGGAAGCGATCAGGCAGCGCTCCTTGAATAGGCGACATCAGTCATTACTATGCCGGAAGTTTGCAGCTCAACCCTTTCGGCAATTCTTGGGCGCCCAGGGCATGGCTTTTCAGGCGCCCAAAGGGCAAGCAATGATGGCCGCTTTGCGGGTGACTCTGCGATTGATTGAGTTCCTGCGGGAGTCCTTCCAACCAATTTGTTTGCGGATTGGAATTTCAGGCTCGGGTTAGGTATAGATGCTCTCTTTTACAGCCTCACAGGTTGCGGAGCATTCGGTGCCCTTGCCAATCCACCGAGTATTGACGGAACTGCATCAAAGGGCAATCGATTTGGTGACCCCACACAGGTATGTGGAAACTAGTGACCCATCGGGACAGGTCCCTAGTTGTTTGCCCACTCGCAGGCACAAACACTAGCACAAACGCAAACACAAGCAAACACACACACACAGACACAGACACAGACACACAGACACACAGACACACAGACACACAGACACACAGACACACAGACACACAGACACACAGACACACAGACACACAGACACACAGACACACAGACACACAGACACACACACACACACACACACACACACACACACACACACACACACACACACACACACACACACACACACACACACACACACACACACACACACACACACACACACACACACACACACACACACACACACACACACACGCACGCACGCACGCACGCACGCACGCACGCACGCACACACACACACACAGATATATATATATATATACATATATATATATATATATACACACATGCACAGCCAGGGATACCCAAATAGGTTCTCAAAGAAAGTTATGTTTCTCTCCAAATGTGACAGCAAATGAGGCATGAGCTGCAAGGTGACTTCGCAACCACCGCCCGTCTTTCCATGCTGGGCCCGCCTGCGCCCCGTAGAAGCCCATGGACATGGTGGCTGCGCAAATGCAGGTGATGCCCTGCGGGTGAGACACGCAGCTCTATTGGACGGGAACCAGGCCTCACACGTTGTCCTACTTGCTCAGGAATACAATCGAAACCGAATATTGCAAAGTTGGCTTTCTGCTGGAAACTGCGCCCCCAGCCGGAAAAAAACAGGATGGCCTCCCAAACCACTCCAACGAGCAGCGGATCAACTAGTGATCCGGCCAGTGAACCAGCGGTTGCTAAGGTTGATCCTTGTCGATCGGAATGCTTCATCCTTGGCTGGGGAACCTGGAGCAAACCAGGTTCTGGCCATGGTTTGCTTCCATGCCCTCTTTAAAATCAGAATGGATTGACTATGCTGGCATTCATGTCTGTCAACCATTGGAACATCTCTGCAAGATTTTGGATGAATTGAGCAGCAGTCAAAACCAGACTTGAAGGACAAATCTTGACCCCTCTCACAAGATATATGGAATCAGGTAGAAAACCCACCTTATAAATAGGCGCTGCTCATGTTGCCAGTCGACTAACAGCGTCTCGTGTTTGTCATGATCAAGGCGGAATTGCCACCTGGCTCTGTGGTCATGGAGAGCACTCTGTGAAGCAGGCCGCGTCATCGCAGTTTAGAGCCATTGCGGTGTTGGTATACGAGAGGTTGCAAGCTTCTCTCATTTGCATGGTGACTAAAACGATTGTCTTTGTTGGAGCATGTCTTTGCCACCGGCTTGGAAACTGCTATTGCGTATGCGTAAAAACGCAACAAACAACAGGACCCTGGAAAGCACGATTTTCATCAATGGGTGTCGTTCCCATGGTAAAGCAACTAAGGCTTGCCAGAATCCTTGACATGACCAGGTGATTCGTCTCTTGCTTTTCTCGACCCCCCGAAACCATCAATGGGTGCTTGGCTTCTTGTCGCCCAGTTAAAAAGGCTTCCTGGCTCCTGCGCAAAGTGACCCCTTGGGTTGGTCTTTGCAAGGGATCCGACTGGAAGACAAAGGGGCAAAGAAATGGTTTCTTGTTACATTGGGGGGAACCCTTTCAGTGCGCAATGGGGAAATCGAAAGGAAACCAACCAGGCTTTGGGAGTATGTTTGGACACCAAATCGTGCCACGCAAACGACCTTTTGCCGCCGGCCTTCAAGTGCTCCACTGCAGGGCTCTCGTGACGCCTGCGCTATTCTCAAAGTCAAGCCCCAGTGGAAGGTTAAAGAGAAACAGGCCAGTTTTTAACTTTGACTGCCCCCAGAACCCGTTACCATGGGACGTAGTATCTTGGCAACCAGTCGGCGGGGTCCAGTGGTGCGTAAAGCCCCCAGAAACCGGAAAGTGCTTGGTTGCAGCACAGCGGCGATGACTATCAAGCTACATGACCTTATACCAATTGCAGCAGTTCTTAGTCGCAACTGACCTAGGTGTTGTTCGAAGCCTTGGGAACCAGCGTCAGATTGCGTATGGAGCATCTCTCCGCCCTCAAAGTTGCATCGGCCTGCTGTCTGCGCCGGTGATCCATACGCCTCAGCTGGCAACACGTCAATCCAACTTGCGTGGATTTAACACGTTCCATGGCAAGGAGGCTTTGCTCTTAACGCGCAACTTGGCACTCAGCTTGTCTGCATATGGGATAGTATATGCCTGCTGATATGATCAAAGATCATGACTGCAAGTTCATTATGTCAATTATTCAGTCCTTCAGATTCTTTCAGGTCAGGAACTGGCTTCTCTGTCCATGGTTGCAGTTCGACTTTTGTGGAAAGCAAGTACTTCCACCTGAAAACTTTGGGGCTGGACCCTGCATCACTTCAAACGGGGCCACTGTATCCAGCCTCAAGCCACGCTGCGATGCTTGAGCACCCAAGGGTTGATTGTGAAGGGATGCGCAAAGCCCCAATGGTGAGGGAGCGGATGCAAGGAAGAACGGAAGAGAGGATAAAGAGCAAGGAAAATAGATGACAGAACATTCAACACCCAGTTGATGTCCACTGCCAGGATCACAACCCCATACGATGTCCTATCCAACAGCAAGCCTCTCAAATAAGCCAAAGTTGGATCCCAAGCCCGTTCACCCAAAGTCAATAAGCACACCCGCTTCCCCTTGACCCATCCGGCAAATGCCAAGGCGCTGAGGACAAAAAGGCACCACCAGGCCGTGGTAAAGGGCTGCTTGATAGCGCCCATCAAAGCAAAGAGCGCTGTGACGCCTGGGGTGTTGGGATGGCCGGTGGGGTAATTCGCCCTGTTGGCATGTTGAACCTTTTGGCATCTAGCAACGATACAACAAGGCAAGTAGAAGAATCGCGGAATGATCATCATGACCAATTGGAATGTTTGACATATACGTGCACACACACGAGCCCTGACCGGTTTGACCAATCCAACCCACAGCATAATCAAATATACAAATATTGCTATGCCTGACAGGAGCATTTCCCCCCAACCGGTTGGCTTTCCATGGGTTGCCCTTTTGTCCGCGCCTAGGACGCAGGGGCACAGCAGCGCGGCCAGCCATCCCAGGCAGACCAAGCCGTGGGAGATGTGCACGTATCTCCAGGCCTACCGCGTCTCTGAGAGGACGCTGCTGAGTTCAACTTGTGTTGGGCCAAAACGAATCATGACACCAACCAAACCACAAAGTTTACCGGCTCAGGCAAGAGGAAGCAGAGTTGAGGGGTCTTCCCACAGGGACTTTGTTTGGTGTTAGGAAAACCTAAAGGAAGCCTATCATTTGTAGAGGCCTATTTTGGGAAACGCAAGACTGACATCCACTGTTTTTGGGGTAGGCCCTAGTAAGCCTTCATCCAGGGATGTAAATCTGCCACAATGTCAACAAACCTATTCCAGCAAACCAGGGGAACATAAGCCCCATGCAACAAACGCTTTGCGCTTTGCCCCACTCTCCACCAAAGCCTTTCAACCAACATAGACCCGCTGTCTCGTCCCCGCCTGCTCGGGAAGCTGCGGGGAGGTGCGGTAGGCATGTCGAGACAGAGCCAGCTCACCTCAAGAGCTCCCTGGTATCCACAAAGCGAAGGTTTGTGAAGATTCTGGTAGGCGTGATTCAGCATCCGTTCGCGCCGAGAACATGCTCTCGGGAGTTCAAACAAAATCTCTGGAGTGATGCTTCTGACAATGGCAACGGACGTGTAGATACAAAAGCTTGCTACACAGCCACCAAACAAAGCAAAGCCTTAACCTCTGCAACACGTGTGTCTTGGATTGAACATGGGCAGAACTTCATTGGGCGGCTACGCAGACTTTGCATCGCCCGTGCACGGCGTCGGGCGCCTGTCTCTGTCTGGACCTGTGAATCCACCCAAAGGCTTTGTTGCGGCTGAGGGCAATCATCTTCCAACCGGCTCCAAGTCGCATCTGGCCCCTGGCATGCCCAAGCGCAGCCTGCCGCAGAAGAAGGGAAGGGATCTTGCTACGCGTCCTGTGGAAAAAGTGACACCAGTGCGATCCCTTTTCAAGAAAGCTGAAGTAAAATAACAACAAAAAACCTGTACACATCTCGTATTGAATGCGATTGCGAATTGGTGGGAGGACGCAGGTTCTACTTTGACTTCTCGCAAATGCCAAAAGCCTGATGTCTCAGCAGCCTTGCTTCATTGTTCGTGAATACATGAATGCTCCGCCGTTTCTTCACTGTAATGGCCTTCCGCAATAATTTCATCATCACAGAAAAGCACAAAGCTGCAGTGCCCGGGCCCTCGAATGACACGTCGGTGTGCTTTGGCTGGCAATCCGAGTGACTCTGGGCTAAACAGGTCTGTTGCAGGATTGCTCGCTGAAACTTTGGGCCAGGGCCGAACAAGATCCGGCGGAATTCCGTGAGCCGCGAACTCTACCCACAGGACGAGTACCACCAAGAAGTGCTTTTCGTGAAGAAATATTGCACTCCGTGCACAAGCGCACTGTCTGAGAATACATGGTTGGAACTGTAAGTAGCCTTTACTTTGTGTACGCCAGCGAAGGTTGAAAGGGCTCCAAGTTGCTGGCTTCCTAAAGGACCAAAAACAACAAAACTGCTTTAGAAGGGGGATTGTCTAAATCAGCTGGCAAAGCTGAATTCTAGTGCCCCACCGAATCCTTTCTTTCAGCGGCCCTCCTGTTAAACGCCCCGTGGTCCCCTGGCTCAAGCAGCACCGCCCCAATCGAATCCGCGCCCGCAGAGCCAAAGCAGCGACAGCGGCGCGGTGAGCGCCGCGGCTGCCGCTCCACGCCAAGAACCGCCTGCGATCCGTGATCCGAAAATCGGGTGATGTACGCAAGGTGCATCGGGTGAACATAGATCTATCCCTATGATGCATATGGATATATACATATATATATATATATGAACATATGTATATATATATGTATATATATATATATTGCAAGCGTGCATGCATGTGCATGACTATAAATAAGTATGCATATTATTCGCGTGGAAACGCACGCGTGTATAAGCGCAAGCGATGCCTTCAACATGCCATGCAGCAGGGCAGCAACTAACGTCTGCAACATTGCCACCAGCTTGCCATATGTGAAAAGAAGACATCTCAAAAGAACTGTTGTGCAACATTTCAGGTCTTGAAGTGGGGGGGGGACAACTCCCGATGAGAAGAGCTAGCGATTGAAGTACAACATTAGTGCTGGGGCAGTTATGTTCTACATGTTTGAATTGTCGGGTGTTCTCACCTTGTTCTCCAACCCGTTTGGACGCATTGATCTCGATTCCAACGCTGCGTGTGTGTGCGGCGTCTGTGTGTGGGTGTGGTCTCAACCACCTTGTTGTCATGGCCCCACCTCGTTATTTTGGGGATGTTCCCACCTAGTTTTGCACGCAAGTCCGTACGTTACCCCAAAATTGTGTCCGCCCGGCCTGTGCTGATGTAATTACCCAATTGCAAAAGCCCGGGAACGCACAATGGGCAACTAACAGGGTTCAGGACTTGGTGTTGTTTGGCCATCGTGCTGTTTCGAGCACTCAGCCCAACCCACACGCTTCAGTGCTTGAAAGCTCTTCAATGCTGCCCTCACTTTTACATCTCCCAGAAAACCAAGAAGCAAGAACCAAGAACCAAAACACCTCAGGACTCTTCTCATCTTATCTTGGTGCTGCATTGACCGCGATGTTTTACGCTAAAGCTCCAAAGCGGTTCAACGCTTCCGACGAGCACAGGGCGCCCTTGATGTTGAACAACTGAGGTTTGCCAGACTGTTCAAAGGCCCAAACCCCTCCAACCCCTCCAAGCCCTCCAAGCCCTCCAACCCCTCCAACCCCTCCAACCCACCCCCCCGGGGCGCCTCCCCAAACCCAGCCCCCAGCCCCCAGCTCCCCGCCCACCTGACCCGCCCGGCCTAGGAGGCAGGGCGCGTGCGTGTAGAGCACCACCAGGGCCGGGATGAGGTGCACGCCCAGGTCCCAGAGCTGCCACAGGAGCTGGGACTCCCGTGGCAGCGTGGCCCCTACATCGTGCGTCCGTCAGAAGGTCCCCATGCGAATTGCCAACCCGAAACCCAAAGCAGGTGAAATTACAGAAAAGGAGATTCCTCTTGTTTGAGAGTCGCTGGTGGGCAACCACTGCTTCTAGGACAGAGCATCTCTGACAGGTGTGCCTTTGTCTGATTTTCAGGTAAATACCCCTTTTCAGGAGCACAAACAAATACATAAACAAATAAACAAGTAAAAACAAATAGACATGGAAAAAACATAAACAAACAAATACATAAACAAATAAATAAATGAATGAATGAATAAATTAATAAATTAATAAATGAATAAATGAATAAATGAATAAGCCAATGAATAAGTAGATGCTTGTCCAATCTCGGAATGTGCACCAAGCGGTGACGAAAAAAAATCCAACAAAGTCAACAACCAGAAACCAGCCCTGTGCCCCGCCGCCCTGTGAAAACTGCCCATGACAAACTGGGCTCTGCGCGATCATCTGGAAATCACTGGGAGACAAAAAGGTCAGCTTTCGACAAGTGTTGCAGCCCCAGAAGCTTGGCAGTGGCTCCGCGTATCACTGCTTCCAGGCTGGCAGAAACTCAATCAACCACTTTGGCTTGTTCCCACTTGAAAACAGTACTTTGCAACAAAAAGTCAAAGTTCCAAACATCACGCTATCCTCATGACTATCATTATCGACAATGTGCCAACACACTGGAGGAACCCGCCGTTGGATCTGAGGATTCAGTCCAGGGCTAGGAAGTGCCCACTTCTTTGACTAATTTCGCCATCTTAAGGCGGTAACCATTCCCTGGTATCACAGAACTGGCGCTTCCCAACCCCTGATTCAACCACCCTCCACCCCTTTGAAGGTGGCCAGGGTGCTGTTCAAGCACGTTTGCTCAACGGGGAGCGCCCCCCGCCTCGCCAAAGGGCCGTGACCGCCGCAGCGTGGCGCAGGCGCAGGCCGTACCAAGTCAGCAGCACTGACAAGGACAGCACCGTGGCCACGCCCAGCAGCAGCCTGGATCACTCCAAAGACCCCGTCGCAAGGCTAGACATGTAATGACATTGTGGCGTCCGTAAAGGACCGAATAAAAACTTTCTGTTGTGGTGTGGTCATCTTCAAGAGGTTAGGAACAACCCTATGAAGCGATACGTAACAGCCACCTCCAGGTGACCTGTGTTGGGGCTCGTAAGACCCTTCCAATGGTCTCTGTCCCTCGAACAACAGGAATCTACAAGTTCGTGCCCAGCTGCGACCTGCTGTGACCTGGCGTTTGTCCATCAATTGGGAGGTGCTATTTTTATGTCGCACGGAAAAAGGTGTTGCTCATTTCGCACATGGGAAAAGAGGGATTCCACGCAGGAACGTCATAATGAGGGAGGGAGGGACCCAGGACCTTCGGCCGTTGCTCCACTGCCATGGGGCCGCTCCATGCCTCCCCGAAAAGGGAGGCCCCAATGAAGCCAAGGCGGTTGGATCCCTTTTGCTCTTGGAAAGAGGGAATGGCCACCCCAAACACGCTAAGCAAGCAGCGAATGGTGACCAAATGCTGCACACCTGGTACCAAGGAGGTCATGTTCTTCGAGGGGGGCAACCAACAAATCAACATGCAGTATCGAGGGTGAGGGGAGCATGCCAAGGAAAACACCAAATGGAGCAACTTGATGCAATCGCCGTCGAGCTCTGTTGAACAAATAGCTCGGCCGCTTCCCTGCACCAGCTCTTTGTCTGGCTTGCAACGGCAAGCATCGAAATCCCAGATGTCAATGCAGTGTTGAGAGTACCTCCGAATTGCGGCGAGCCAATCATGACGCTATGACCCCTGAAGGCGGCCATCACGCACTTGACTCAGACTGCCGCCCCAAGCCTTGCTGACTGCTTCCTGAGATGTTTCATAGTTATCCTTCTTTCTGGAAAACAAACACAAAACTGGTCAAACGACACGAAAGCTGGCTCGTGCACTTGGTTGGGAACACTTTCTTGTACAGCCCAAAACAACTGGCCGCTAGTCCATGCCTCGTCTGGGTCGCAAAGGCGGCCAGCATCACCAGCCACCATGTGGTGGAGAAGGGCAGTCGAACATAGCCTCGCACCCGCTCGAATATCGATTTCAAGTGGCGCCTCTTTTGCCGCAGCCCGCAAGGCGAGGAATCTCCAACAGTTGGGTGATGCTTTCGTCATAGGACCGGCAATCAACGAAGCTGCAGGGAGTTGGTGGGTTGTCCATGGACAAAGCCTCACTTCGGAGAGATTTGCCTTTCTGTTGAAGTGGATAGGGCACAAATACTCCGCCAAGGAGAAAAATGTGTCTAGTTTGTAATAAGCTTTTTTAAGCATGTTCCGGCATCGCATTCTTAAGCAAACATATGGGTCTTCTGTTAGGGGACCGTCCGACCCCCCAAAACTGTGGGTTTATATAGTTTCCTGTTGGTGTCCCTTTAATCCCACCAAAAAGGGGCACCTCAAAAAAAGACAGACCCCGAAACCGCGCAAAAAGGGGAGTGTTTGCTGGACACTGCTCCACCTTCGGAACTCTGCTTCAAAGCCACCTATCTGAAACAGGTCTTTCCCTCCTCGTCGCTTTATCATCCCTATAGCAGTTCTGGCAGTCGTTTAAAACGCATCGCGAGCTGAGCTACATCCTGTGCTTTGCCTAATGGCACAGTCGCCCTGGGAAATCTAAAACGGTTCCTTTCTTTATTGATACGAACCGGCATGTGTTGAAGGAAGCAAGTGTGCCACCGAGAGGTCCTGGCACCCTCTGCTCAAGGTACACCGGCTCCCGACCTGCCTGTGCCAAGAGCTAGGAAAACCAGCAGAAGAACATCCAGCGCAGTGCTCAGCCTTGGTCCAAGCATTTCGAGTCCAACATGTAAAAGCAAAATGTTTCCACAAAAGGATACGTTCTTGCATGTTTGTGGCCGGCGCCCACACGACACGACAGTTTGCCTCGCGATCCAGCGGTAAATCCCAGGCAAAGAACATCGAAGCCTCCCGACCAACTACAGCACATGGAGCCCCAGGCAGATGCTTCGGACTTGGAGACGTAGCCATTCTCACCCCACATGTCCCTTGGCGTGAAGAAACCCACAGTACAACAGGGATGACCCAGGAATCAGTTAAGAGCTGCCCCAATGGGTCTTTTGCCCTTGCCTGGGTTCTGTGGGCGATGCTTGGAATGGGAAGCTGCTTTTCAAATCTGTTCAAAGCGGGCATCTTTGCACCTTTTCGCGAGGTCATGGACAAATGCTGTGATTAAGCCAGGTCAAACCTTGCTTCTCGCCCACGACAGGACATAGAAGTTGAGTCCATGTGTTGGAGGACGACTTGGCAAACGTTCTTGCATCATCAAGTTGCAGCTTGAAAATGCCACATTTCTGCTTGACCCAGAAATTGTTGTGCTGAGAGCAGATGACATAGACTTTGTGTGTGTGTGTGTCGAATGGTGTATTCGCACATCCAGCAACAAGCCATTTGGGGCTATGACTAAACACGGGCCAAGACCGGTCCGAAACTAAAAGATCTGAAGATCAGCATGGAGCAAGGGAGGTCAGGCTGGCAGCCTCCATCACTGTTGGGCCAGTAAACTTGAGGTTTGTTAGACCACTTGTGGAAATGTGTGCTATATGGATTGTGATTGATTATTTTTCTGGAAGCCCAACGAAACCAACCATGTTGAATTTCGGTCCCCAGATTGTTGCCAGAGGCAACCCCTGCTTTCATTGTTCCCCAAACAGCGATGTTTAACATGATGTCGTGGATCGCCGGCGTGCGGTGACTGCCGCCGTGCTGCGCGGTGTCCTGACGCTCAGCTCTGCCCAGGCTCTGCAATCCTGCGAGCAATGGCACCTGAGCCGCGTACATGGCGGAGGGGGCGGGGGGGGGGGGGAGTGGTTGCGATCCACCTGTTTGTTAGCCCCAAAAACCACAGGGTAAAAGGGAGGTCAGGAAACAAGTTTGGGGGTGGACAAAGTGTTGCACGGGCGCGGTTCCATGATCCAGGGCCTCCCTTATAGCACATGGCCGAATTTCTAACTCCATGGGTTCGCGTCCTTCTAAGCCCCCATTTAAGTAGTGGAGGGCCACGCCTAGCAATAAATTGCTTTCATACATACACCCCCCCTACATTTTTTTCATTTTCCATCTTCTACCCTTATTTGTTTTCATCATTTTTCTACATTCCTTTCTGTCCATCTCATCCGTTTTTTTCTCATCATTTTTCCAAAATTTCCGCCATCCTTTTCTCCTTCCTCCTCGCCTCATTCATTTCACCAACTACCCTCCAAAATGTCATTTCCTCAATCTCCTCACCTCATCCATTTCAAAAAAATAAATTTTGCAAAATATATTGCAACAAATATTTGTCATCAAAAAAATATTCGAACTGTCTAAAAACGATTTGTCCATTTCCCGGACAAAAAATAGAACAGCAACAACATCACTCCCTCCTTCGTTTCATCAGTTTCATCATATATATTTTTTAGGCGTGGTCGCATAGCTTGCGAGCTTCGCTAACGCTCGCGTGTCCCTTGTAGGATTTTATCTTCAATATATAAAACGCTATACTTACATTATAATTATAACATATAAGGGTATAAATGTTATTATTATAGTATGATTAATAATTATGGGTTACATTTATAGTCAGGAAAAATGTCTTCAAATATGTAATCTACATATTTATCAATATCGCCAATGTCTATATATTTGATATTGTCTTTTCCTATTATTGAATAAATATATTCCCAGAAAAACAAATTAACTAGTAGCCATACTTGATATTTAGTGTTGTAGTAAGACCATACATGATATTTAGTTATTCTAAATTCATTCAAGACCTCGTTTATTTTATCTTTACTTAATAAATGCCAATCAATCGCTTTATGGTTTAATTGCGTTTGCCCCTCCAAACCTCTTAATTAAATCTTTATTATTAAAGAACTCATCAATTTCTTTTTCAAATGACTTTCTAGCAATTTTATGGTAAAAACATACAGGAAATCGTTTTTGATATCTCATAAAGAATTTCAATTGTAATTGAAACTTTGTATATCCCTTATCCTTATGTTCTTAGCGCCTCATTTAACTTGTCAGCAACTTCCATTTCAGAAACCCTCGTTTCCAAAACGGAAACAACTGTTCCAAAAGCCATTTCCAAAATGGAAACACCACTAAACATGTATTATTTCCTCATCCGAAATACCACTCTGAAATGTCCTGTTTCCAATTGGGAAATACAAGTTTCCAATTAGGAAATACCAGTTTCCAATTGGGAAATCCAAATTTCCAAATCTGAAGCCAAAGTTTCTTGATTGGAAACTCAGGAAATGTCAAACTCACTAAGATTTCACAAATTAATTCGCTAGGTATTTTGTATAGGTCTTCCTGCTTATGTATTGTTGGATTGTCTCCCCCTTGTTCCTTGTTTCCACTTGGCAAACGTTGCGCAGTTTCAATATGTTTATTATTCCTGATGTTACCACAATCCTTTTTACATAATTCTCTAGGTTTCCAAGTTGTAATGTTATTCCATAGCCTAGTCCTCTTTCTATAATTAAATCCATATTTACAGTAATCAACATCTTTAAATTCAAACTCATCCATAAACTCCTGATTTTTTAATAATCCAGTTTGTGGATTTTCGATTACAAAATATTTAGGATTAAAATATTTGATAATCTCGATAGTTTTTAAGACAATACTATTTGCATATTCGATATTCCTAATTCCCCTAGTTTTTGCTACGCTGTATTCAGTGCATGGGGGACTACTCCAAATAAAATCAAAATGGTTTCTGTCAAACTGTTTGTAATCCCACTCCAAAATATCAGTGTTGATATCAGCATTTTTCAAGTCTAATGATATCACATTAAATCCAAGCGACTTTGCTATGGTTCCGACGCTTTTTGTTCCGCTAAATAATTCTAATAAATTCATATTATTAGAATTACTTAGATATTAATTATTCAAATAATACATATACTCCATCATCATTTTTTGAAATTTTGTAAAATTCTAAAGTGGTGCTTTTAGGTTGTTTGATTTTTCCTGTATTCAACATATCACAGTATTTCTTTTGCTTTGTAGGGTAGTCGCCCGATGGTCTTCCTATAGATTTTGCTTGAAATATCTTTTCGATTTTCTCCTTCTCTTCGTTGCTTTGTTGTTCGCGTTCAACTGGTTTCATTTTGTCATCAATGGATTTAATCATATCATTTAAGTTTTTGATATTTTTACTAATTAATGTTATCTTCTTCATTAAATCATTAATAGTATAATTTTCATTTTCAGACATTACTATATATTTATTTAGATATTTATTTATTTAATTATATATGTATAAAGTGCAATTATGTTAAAACTACTCTTTAAATACTAACTTATGTCCCTGTTAAAACTAACATTAATCAAATGTTCATTAGTTTCAACAACCATATCGCCACCTGTTTTTTCTCAATATTTAAATCCTTATCTGAGCTTTTATAAGAAAACATACAAGGAATACAACTAACCTTCACTCCGCCTTTCTTATCTACTGTCAATTCGTTTTTAAAACTCATTACGTGATTACATTTATCACATTTTATAGCCTTACTTTCACCCATTGATTTAACACTTTCTGCTGTTTCTTTCCGTGCTTCAATATCTGGTGTTGGTCTTTCTTTGCCTTTACTATTTTTCTTTTTTCCCATTTATATTAATATTTACATTTTTATTTTTGAGATATTGAGTTCCTAACTTAATTATTTCTAATGAATAATAACAACATTTTTCTTATTTTATTGTCAGTAATTCGTACTTGTTCTACATTTTCTATTTCATCTATTATATTAATATAATTTGAATAACTCCTATTCATATAAATAATAAGATAAAATAGTTATTTAATCTTATTATTTTCATGCACGATAGAATATTCGGAGGGCACAGCACTTGGGGTTTTCTTTACAACGCATCAAACTAATTAGCTTCAATGCTTATTGATTGAAGTTGATGAAAGAGCCTGTTCTACTACGATAGACACCATTCATATCATAGCAAAGCTTTCATACAATAAATAATATTAATCTATTTTCTAAATATGTTTAATATCAACTATATGACAGATGTTCCAATAATAAAACCAATAAACATAACTGAATATGAATTCAAACAATCTAAATTTGAGCACGTGCCAAAATTACCATTTAGAAGTATTATAGTTGCTTCTTCGACAGGCGGTAAGACTGTCCTTATTCAAAATCTAATATTGAATGTTTATAGAAATTCATTTGCAAGAATATTTATATTTTCACCCAGTGTCCATAACGACCCTACATTTACAGAAGTTAAAAAATATATCTGGGATGAATTGCACGTGGATGATGAAAAAGAACAAATTTATTTTGATAATTATAATCCAAGTGATGTAGAAAATGTAATCGAAAGACAGAAGAAAATTATTAATTATATGAAGTCTAAAAAGATAAAGAAACTACATTCAATATTAATCGTTATAGACGACCACGCAGACGACCCTAAATTTGTTAGATATAGTAAATTATTACATGGATTATTTACAAGAGGCAGGCACGATGCAGTAAGTGTGATTTGTTCAACACAAAAATACAATGTTTTAGCGCCTATCATTCGTTTAAATGCCAGTTCATTATATATTTTTAGGTTGAAAAATGCCAGTGAATTAATGAGTTTTATTGAAGAAAATTCCGCCATTGTTGACAAACAGCAATTATTAGATATGTATCATCAAGCCGTTAATTTTGCTCCATATTCTTTTTTCTACGTGAATATGAATTCAAAAGACATTAACAAAATGTTTCATATCAATTTTGAACAGGCATTTCAAATTACAAATGATGAATAAAGATATTCTAACTTAATATAATATAATAATATGCCAATGAAACTATGTAGATGTGGTGGATTTTATCGTAGAGGTAATTACAATTTTCATACTAATTCTTGGATACATAAACTTTATAAGGTATTGAAAAGAAGGGCAACGGACGCGGAATTATTAAGATTTCAAAATAATTTTGTTGATGAAGAAGATTTAATAGATGATATGTGTAGCAATGCCTCAACAAAATTACCCGAAAGTGAAATGACAGATTATGATAATAATTAATAATATTAATTTGTTTTAATATTATTAATTTAAAATAAAGAATAACTACATAAATTCAAAGCAGGTAATTTATAATATATTTTATCTTTTTTACATTCATTAACTTTTTCTAATTTATTTATTATTGCTTTCAATGAATTTATTTGTAGAATATCAATTCTTGACATTTCACTTATCGTATTTACATCTATATCTTTTATTACTTTAATAGCCTCTTCGTCATCAATTTCTACTGGTTTTGATTTACTTGAACCCATTATATATAATATTATTTAGATTTTAATTTTTCAAAATTGAAATGTTGGTTTTCTTCTTCTTCTTCGTCTTCAGTTGGTGCTGGTATTTCTGTTGGACTTTCAGATGAAGAACTATGGACAGTAATAGGTGGAGAACTATGAACACTAATAGCTTCATTTGATGAATTGCTACTGCTACTTTGTGCATGTCCTGCTGTTATCTGATTGACTAAATCTGCAATATTTATAGTTGTTGCAATTGTGCTGTGTGATAAGTTTAATATGATATCTGCTATTGTAGCGCCGTTGTGTAGCATTATTTCTATCATTTTTGTCAGTTTGAACTTCTTTTCTTCTTCATCGCTGTTATCCTCGTCTGGTGGTTTCTTTGGCGGTGGTTCTGGCGGTTTGTTGTTGTCAAGCATTTCAGTAAAGGCTGACACCATTGCGTCGCGTTGGTTTTTCAGTGTTTGTGTTGCTTGTGT